ATATAAAGTAAATTTCTATTATTTATGAATTATTCAATTTAAAATAATTTTAAAGCAGTATTCATTGACTACGACAAGCACATGCACCATAAACCAAAATTTCTTCAAATTAAAAAAAATGAATAGAGCTAAATGTTGCACCTAAAAAAAAAAATTCCAGATAAAGATTTCTTAAATATATCCTGAAAGCATGGTCTAGCTTTAAAAAATCACTCAATTGAGTTTCATAAGATTTAAATTATTTTTCCCTTAAATTATTACCATGAAAATACAAAATCAAAAAGAAATAACATATCAATTATTGCATATGTCTTTTAAAATATTAGGCTGTTTTGATAACTGTAACTTTGCAGTATTGTTTTAAATTCATTGAAAAAGAATCAATTTCTTAGCAGTTAAAAGAATTTACTCAAAATGGAATGAAGACATGTGTGAGATATGTAATACACACCTCTCAGATGAAGAAATACAAATGACAACTAAATATCGAAAAATGGTCATCATCATTTGTCATTAGAGAAATTAAAATTAAAGCAACACTTAGATCCGCCATCACCACAGAAATGATGGCTACCATCAAAAAGAATTCATCCAATAACAAATTCTGGTAAGACTGTTTCAAAAAAGAACCCTTCTGCAATGTTGTGGTGAGTGTGGACTGGTGCAACTGTTATGGAAATCATTTTGAAGAGTCCTCAAAAAACTTATATTAGACATCCCATTTGACACAGTAATTCACCTTCTGGGTATTTTTTTTTTTTCTTTGCAGAAGAATTGAAAACATAATTTCACAGCAATATCTGTACACTCATGTTTATTGCAGCACAATTTATAATGGCTTAATCTTGGAATCAACCCAAATGACCATCCACCAAGGAATAGCTAAGAATGATTTGATGTTTTAATACAATGACATACTAATCAACTTTAAATAAAGACAAATTTCAGGCTTTAATATATAAATGGATGCAACTGGAAACCATACCCATAAGTTAAATAACTCAGACTTGCTTGTGTAAATGTCATATTGACTTCCTACTGTAAGAAAATGAAAGACTAATTTAGATTCAAAAGGTAACAAATATATGAAATTCTGAAACTACTAGAATATAACATTTAGGAAACAGTTCTCAATAATACAATAGACAGTGATTTTTCCACATGGCTTGAGAAATAAAGAGATAGATATTTCTTTAAAATGAGAGGGAGACCAAGAAACAGAGGATGAGGTAGTGACTGTGATGAAAAAAGAATTATGATTTTTTATCTACAAGACCAACTCCATGCAAAGAATATAAACATTACACACTGCAATCATGTACTAATAAGATAAAAAAATTAAAATATGAGAAAATAATAAAAACATCCAATTTTGGAAATAAAATTAAAGCAAAATTAGACAAATGAACTTAAATAAACTTTTGATAAACAAAGGATGAAATCATTAGAATGAACATCCAACAGAGTGGGAGAAAAATATTTGTAAACCACATAACTAACAAGAGGCTAAATTTCCAAAAAAGATAAAGAACTGAAAAAAACCATGAGCAAATGGGTAAATAAATAGATTTAAATGTTGTTAATAGTATGAAATATATTTTTCTGTGAAGAAGTATAAATTACTGAAAGATGTAAAAATGCTGAATATCTTTACCTATGAATGAAATTATAAAAAAAACACTGTGAGTTATCACAGGAGTAACAGTGACTAAAATATAAAAAATCTGTAAAGATAACAAGGGCTGATGAGAGCATGCAGAGAATAGGACATTTGTACACTGCTGTAGAAATTTAATAAATTTGGTGCCGAAAACAATATGGAGGCTTTTAAATAATTAAAAATAGAACTACCACATAATCAAGCAATCTAATTACTTGATGGGCTCAAAGTAAATAAAATATCAATGAGATATATGTTCTTTTATGTTCATTACAAGAGTCTTTATAATGCTCAAGGAGTGGGAACAACTTAATTGGTAGGTGATAAATGATTGACAATTGTGGAAAGTATACACAACATAAAATTATTTACACATAAATCTCATGTTACTTGCAACAATGGGGAAGAAATCAGTAATTGTGTTGTTAAATAAGATAGTATTACCAATACAGCATCACGTGATCTTCCTCAAGTGTGGGATAGAAAATAATTTCTCATAAAGTTTGAGAGTATCATGGGCCTTACCACAAACCAGGGACACAGATGAAAAAGGAGGTGGGGAGAGAATGACCCATAAGAGGTATGTTACAGTTAAGTACATGTATGAAGTGATATTACACAGTAACACATTGAGGTGATTATAAAATAATGACATGGCATTCCATAATGCTCAAAGATAGAAGAGTTGCAAATATTTTAAATATAAAGACATAATAAATTTGTGTAAATATGTTTGAACTAACATAATATTGCATATTGTATATATGTATCAAAATAAAATGTGGTATACTACAATTTAGATTACCTTTATATCCATTAAAATCGTTTAAAATTTAAGCAAGTATTACTGAATCAAAAAATACAATACAAAATAAAATTTCCAAAATATACAATAATTTCTCAATTCCATATCTGCTAAATCACTACAGTGATTAAGTAAAGAATATTTACATTTGTAACTAAAATAATGTGAACAATATAACGTTTTAAATATATGAAATATTTCTATAGATATATACAAAATATAAACATATACATGCAAAAAAATATATTTTGTTGAATGGCAAATTATGTCTCTTGTTATTTTCACACATTTTCCCTCATCCATATTTATTTGGTGATGTTGACAATTTGTTCACTAAAAAAATTACAGTAGTTCATTTTTATGAGAGTATTTTGTCTTTCAAAATAAAAAAAATATTGTCTTTCCTGAAAATGTTTACAGATCCCCGTCTACATCAATATTTCTAAAAGAAATGCATTTTGAGATAAAACCTGATGCCACTTCACAGTCTGTAGAATGATGAGCATAAGTGTTTACCGTATTATCTGTAGTATGTAGGTGGAGTAACTGAACTACCAAACATTGTTTACCAAAATTTAAGATGATGTAGTTTGATTGTTACTGTTTTTTTTTCTAAATTTTGACATAATTTAAGGCTTACAAAAACTGCGAAATTTGTCAAGCATGATGGGCCACGCCTGGAATATCAACATTTGAAGTTCAAGGCTAGCGTGAGCTATACAATGAATTCAAGGCCAACCTTCACTACTAGCAAGTATCTGTTATAAAATAAATTAAAATTTGCAAGATTTTATTAAGAATTTTTGAGTGCATTCACCTATTTTTCACCAGTGCTAATTATTTGAGGACTATCATATATATTTATCTTTATGATTGTATCGGGTACTTCCATCTGATCAATTCATTGAATTTAAACAATTTATTTTATTTTGATTCTTCTTTCATGAGTAGCCCTTAAAAGGGTATATTATTTTATTACCCATCAGAAGTTTCATATTTTAGCCTACAGGCTCTCAATAATGCATAATGAAATTCAAGATAATACCCTGTATTTTCCTTCTATTTTATTCAAATTGTAATTTGTACAAAGTTAATTTTCCAAAGTTTGTGGTATAATTTGGCAACATTATTTATAGGGGTGATATCAATTATATTGCAAACCATATCTACCATGTACATATTTCTATTAAAACTTTGATACTGTTGTCAATGTCTGTTTACTTCACTGATCTAGTTTTGCTTTTTTGTTTATCATATATTTTAATAACATAACAAATATAATATTTTATAACATGAATTTTGACATAGGTTTGCTATAATTGGTTCTGCTAATACATACATATATATTTTCAGTGCTTCAACTAAGGCACTTTGGTGTGCAACTGGTTGTCTTGCCAGGCCATACCTCTTAATAATGATAGAGAAGTTTTCCAGCATCCCTACACTTCCTTACTCTTTATATGTCATTACACTTTCCAAGTGGGAAGATTGGAAGGCTGGCTTCAGGAAGCTTCTCTCAATTTGTTTCAAACTTCAGCCTATGTCTAAAAATTATTGAGATGATTTACAATGTTAAAATAAAGGAACACCTTGAAAACAATCTTTATTTTTGGAGTTAGCAAAGCTCAATTAACACAATATTAATTTTTGCTTCTTTAAGTCACAATTTACAAGTTATGTCCATCTGATTTAAGTAGCAATTTTCATGTACATGCAATGTCCAGAAATATTGAAACAAACTGAGTCTGAGATGTTCATCATTTTTTGAATCTGGTTCTGTTCCATTTGCAACTGAATTTTGCCCTAAAGCTTCATAGAGAATCACCACAACTAGATTTCAAAGCCCAAAGTATAGACACAAAAAATACAAAATGAAATCATAGCTTAGCCAAAGACTAGACCACAGAGACCACAGAGATGAAAAATCAGGGCAGACTAATGTTAAGGTTTTTTTTTTTTTTTTTTTTTTTTTTTTTTTGCTTAAAACTGGCTAAGAACATAGAATACAGAAATCAGGAATTATAGTACATCTCTTGAATTATTTTACTGAGTTTACTGCCAAATACATATTTTGTTTTTTCATAATTTATTGAGCCAATGAGAATGGAAAGCATAAAGAAAGGAAGAGTAATACCAGAAGCAACTGAAAAGGAAAAAGAAAGTCACCTATTCAGACTAACAGAAAAAGATTTTGTCAGTTAATGGAAGCTGGTGACAGTGGCAGAGATATAAATTTCTACAAAGCTAATAATGAATAGAGTACATCTTGAAGTTACAGATAAAACAGAGAATAGTGTGAAAAAGGTAAAGCAGGATGTGAGGGGAGGGGCACTGCATGCACAGCATAGCAGGGTCTGAGGTCACAAAGCCAGTATTCTCAGTGGTTAGCAACAGCATTTAGCTGCTTGGGAAGCAACAGGTGGGCTATCCCTCTGAAGAACTTCCCATGGATTCTTCATTGGCTCTCTCAGGCCTACTTTAGTCCTACTCCAATAGTCCCTTATTTCCAAGACGCTGAAGATAGGACTTGGAAACATGGAGGATGCTAAGGAAACTCCAACCGAGACTCAAAACCTGAGTCAAAGCACGTCAGTCACATCAAGAAATAGCACATGTATAGATGAGCTTCTTGCCTCACCAGAGATCAAGAGACAGAGGAAAGGCTACCTTCCGATCGAGTCCGTGAAAATTCTTCAAGACTGGCTTTATAGCCACCAATTTAAGGCTTTTCCATCAGAGGCAGAGAAGCAAATGCTGTCAGAAAAGACCAATTTATCTTTTCCGCAGATCACCAATTGGTTTGTAAACGCTCACCGCGGATATGCTCTCCCAGAAATGCTGAATCAGGATGTAAATGACTCCAAAGACCTAGAAGATATGGATGCTGAAGAAACTCAACAAGCAAACACCGATTCTTCTTTACTGGACAAGGTAGGACCTGTGCATCCAGACAAAGGTCAATGCCATCCACTGTCTCCACTACCAAGTGGCATGGAGTCACACAAAAAGCTACTGGATCCAAAGTCTTCCTCAAATCAGTTCATTCCAAAATCCCCTCTGAAGGAAAAGGTCGAGATTTCCACCAGTGTACCCATGTCTTTTCCAGAGTCTGTGTGGCCAGAGGAACGTGCAGATTTCAGCAACTTCTACATCCTTGTCGATGCAGCCGTGCAAAGGGCAGCTGAACTGGAGCTGCAGAAAAAGCAAGAATCCAACCCATGACTCTGAAAGAAAAGCCGAAGTAGTCACTCCATTGACAACTTTGTTTATACTCACATAAATTAAAATGCATGTTTCCCTTTTATAGAGACATCATTTATTCACTATTAGAGACATTATCAGTGAACTATTAGAAATGACTTTTGCAAAGTATTTTAGTGTTTCTAGATTGAAGATACAAGCCATCATGATTGAGCTCAATATATTTTATCTTTGCTAATCTTTCTCCTGAATTTAAATACTTCATTCAAAATAATGTATTTGAGATTAGACACTAGACTGAATGTTCTGAAAATGATGTTTTTGGCTTTTCTAGTAAGATTTCTTCATTCCTGAGCTCATGCAGACACCAACACTCTCTTCCTGTCTGTACAATTCTGTATGTGTGGTCACAAATTATATGAAAGAACAGTTCAATAAAAGATGAATATAAAACTAATGGCCTTATTTAATTTTGTAATTTGTGGGAAATTTGCAAGTATATGCAGCCTTTTATACAGTTTATTTTAATGAGTAATTTCAGCAGAAATAAAGCATGAAAAGCAAAAAACATTTAATTCATAACACTTTGCATGAAAAGGTAAATATTTTTGATAGGACAAATAAAAAGTCTTCAGTAAAGATAAGAAATTTTCAAACTGTGTGGCTTTTTGTTGGCAATTTATGCTAATTTTAATTTTCTGTGTCAAAAGAAAATGGAAATGACAAAAAAAATCCATGAAGAATCTAGAGGAACATAATTTAACAGAAAAAAATAAATTTATAGCATGTTAATTACAAAAGTAAGTGAAGATATTCTCTTGTTTTGTTTAATTTTATCTTATAAATACATTGTTTATCTTTTAAAATTCTCATTTATCTATGAAATTTTATGGAAATGCAGAAACCATGACACAGTTGCCACATTGATATAATCCTGTTGTTTTGTAAAAATATATTCACCTGCACTGTTAATTAGGAACAGGTTTTCAATGGTAACAAAGTTATTTAATTAGCACTATTCTCATTTTATGGACTAAAAGTTGTGTAACATGCAGTTAGAAATTGAATTCTAGCCTCAGTTTCTATTACTGCCTTTAAAACATCTGTTTTTTGCTTTTTTGTTTGTTTTTGGTTATTTTGTTTTTTTTTTTTTTTTTTTTTTTTTTTTTTTTTTTTTTTTTTTTGCTATAGGGCAGGGAGGCAGGGAACTGTACACAAAAGGATTATGGGCTTCATGAATTATTCTATCTAATCTTGACTAGCGAGAGTTAAAACAAAATTTACTAGAGAAATTTCCCTGGGAAAAAGAATAAAGATGAAGACAAATAAAGAAAGGAAAAACTAAATAAAGAAAGACACAAAATGACTTGGAGCTTGCACCAAGTTACCAGAGAGAAAAAGAGCCATCAGACAATGTACAGAGAGACACAAGTGCACAAAACTAAGCTCATCTTGCTATCATTATCCATTTTCCCTCTGAAGCCAGATTGGAACAAAGATCCATCTTTCTCAAGCCCCTGAACCTGATATTCTCATCACAGTAGCTATTTTCTCCTTTCTCTCACTTTCTTTTCCTCCTTACAAATAGAGTGTCTTCCTATCATTAAACACTGTCCTTCTAATTTTTTATTGGGGTTGAGTTTACAATCCTGCTGGACTTCTTGAACAGCAGAGGGGCTGTGTTTACCCCACAGATCCAGCATCTTCAGTTCCCTGACATAAACCTAAATGTGATAATGCTATGCAAATTTTGTCAATTTTAGATATGAAAAACCTTACATTATTTAAGCATTTCAAGAAATAGTAGTCATAGGTAACAATTCTAGAGGTTTGCTCTACCAAGAAGGAAGTAGGCACACATTTTCAAACTGTTATTCCTGAAACAGACTAAGTAGGACCTCTCAGTACAAACAATGAAGTTAAGAAGACCATGGAGTGAAGTATTTCAGATTCTAAAAGAAAATGACTTCCAAACTAGACAGATGTAAACTGCAAAACTGTTATACAAAATGGATGGAGAAATAAGATACTTTCATGACAAAAAAATAGCTTTAGAACTTCATGATCACCAAACCAACCTTGCAAAGAATACTGAAAGACATCCTAGGTACATGTAGGAAAAAAAAAAAAAAAAAAAAAAACACCTCTAACTAAGGCAGACAATTAAACAAAATTGAAAGGTAAAAATACAACAGCAGAAAGATAACATGTCAACAATAAACCAATATATAACAGTTATCAACATTAATGTAAACAGTCTCAATTCATCAATTAAAAGAAATGGACTGGCAGAATGGATAAAGAAACAACATCCAATCATATGCTGTCTAAAAGAAACCCATCTAACCCAAAAGCAAACTCATAGACTGAAAGTCAAAGGATGGAAAACAATATTTCATGCAATGGGAATACCCCAAAAAGTGGGGGTAGTTATTTGTTTGAAGACAATGTGAACTTTAAACAAATAACGATCCAAACAGATAAAGAAGGTCACTACATACTAGCTAGGGGAAAACATTAAGAGGAACAGATAACATTCTTAAACGTATATGAACAAAATTCCAGAGCACTCAGCTATATAAAGCAAGTATTAACAGAAATGAAAAATCAAATAAGTAATAACACAATTATAACAGGAGCCCTTAACACACCAGTGACACAAAGGGAAAGATCACCTACACAAAATATCAGCAAAGAAATAAAGAGCTGAATCACACAGTGAACAAATGGACTTGAGAGATGTACACAAAGTCTCAAATCCAAAAATATCAGAATATACATTCTTTTCAGCAGTACATGGGACATTCACTAAAATAGACCATATACTAGCCCACAAATCATTTAACTATATACAAAAGAATTGAAATCATCCCATGCATGTTATCAAATCACAACACCATTAAACTAGAAATTAATGGTAAAAGAAATTTCAGAAACCCCACAAACACATGGAAATTAAATAATATACTCTTGAGAAATCAGTGGATCACAGAAGGAAATTAAAGAAGTAATTAAACAATATCTAGAATTAAAACACAATAGAAATACAATTTACCAGAATCTGTGGAATGCAATGAAAGCAGTCCTCAGAGGAAAATTTATCACGCTGACTGCCCACACCAGGAAAAGAGAATGAACCCAAATAAACAACCTGATGTTACACCTCAAACATCTAGAAAAAGAAGAGCAGGTCAAGCTCCATGCCAAATGAAGGAAGGAAATTATAAAATTCAGAGGAGAAACTAATGCAATATAGACTAAGAAAATAAATACAAATAATCAATGAACCAAAGAGTTAGTTCTTTGAAAGAATAAATTAAATTGATAAGACCCTAGCCAACCTTTTAAAAAAGTAAAGAAAAAGCTCAAATTCATGCAATGAATAATGAAAAAGATGAAATCACTACATACTCTGTGGAAATATAGAAGATCATCAACACTTATTTTAAAAACCTCTACTCCCCAGGTTCGATAACACAGAAGAAATGGACAGATTCCTTGAAACATATGAAATACCAAAGCTGATGTAGAGAAGATGTAAAATTTCTGAATAAACCAATCTCTATTAATGAAATTGAAAATGTAATTAAGTCTTTACCTATAAAAAGAGCCCAGGTCCGGAAGGATTCACCGCAGAATTCTATAAGAAATACAAAAAAAAAAAAAAAAAAAAAAAAAGGCTTAATGTTGGAACTCCTCAAACTCTTCAATGAAATTGAAAAGGAAGCAATTCTTCCTAAGTCATTCCTGGAAGCAAATGTTAATCTAGTACCAAAACCCAAGAAACACTCAAATGAAAAATCTTCCTAGGTCAGTCTTCCTAATGAACATAGCTGCAAAAATTCTCAATAAAATATTGGCAAACATGATACAGCAAATCATCAAGAAGATTATACTGCATGGCCAAGTGGGATTCATCCCAAGCATGCAAGGCTTGTTCAACAAATGTAAATTCACAAATGTACTCCACCATATCTAATAGGGCCAAAGGCAAAAAACACATGATTATTTCTATAGATGCAGAAAAACTTTTGATAAGATCCCACACTCATTCATGATAAGAACCTTACAGAAAATTGGAGTGGTTGGTCTTTACCTCAATATAATACAGGCCATCTATGGCAAAACAACAGCCAGCACTATATTAAGTCACCAAAAACTGAAAGGCTTGGGGGCTGGGGATTTAGCTCAGCGGCATAACCAGGCATAATAAAAAGATGTCCCTCCTGACCACTCCCATTCAACATGGTAAGGGAAATAAAAGCCAGAGCAATTAGACAACAGAGAGAAATAAAAGAGTAAAGATAAGAAAAGAGTAAGTTAAATTATCATTATTTGCAGATGACATGATACTTTACGTAGAAGACCCCCAAAACTTCCTTGTAAGATTTCTAGATATAATAAATAAGTTCAGCAATGTACCTGGATACAAAGTCAATACTAAAAAATCAACAGTATTCCTATACACTAATACCTAAATCACTCACAGAGAAATAAGAGAAGCCACAACCTTCACACTATTATCCCAAAAAATTAAATAGTTAGGAATTAATATCACAAAAGAAGTAAAACAACTATGCAGGGAAACTTATAACACCCTTAAAAAATAAATCAAAGAGGATCTCAGAAAATGGAAAGATATCAATTGTTCATAGGTAGGAAGAATAAATATTGTGAAAATGGCAATTATCCCAAAATTATAATTCAATGCAATTCCAGTGAAATTAGCACTAACATACCTCCTAGATCTAAAGGAATCATTCCTAAAATTCACCTGGAACCAGAAGAGACCTAGAATAGCAAAGGCAATTCTAAGCAGCAAAGGCAAGGCAGGAGGCATCACAATTCCTGATTTGAAGTTATGCTACATAGCTACTCTAATAAAATCAACAAGGTACTGGAATTAAAAACCATATCTGAAGGTTAGTGGAATAGATTAGAAGATACAACCACAACTACACAAACACTCAACCACATTATCTTTGATAAAGGGGCCAAATATTTTCACTTGAAGCATGGTA